ATATGCCCCTCCTGTGAAGGCATTGGCCCCCAACGCTAAGAATCATGTGACCATACCTTTACAATAATCTTACTTATTCTATAAAAGTACTAGTTAAAGTAATATATACATTATATATGAAAAGAATTTGGTATCTCAGTACCCCTTCTGTTGGCTCCTAGCTGCTTGTTCGGGAATATTTCTTCCCCTCTTTTTTTTCCCTTCGTTTCGGCCCCTGTAACAATAAGATCAAAGTGTTAGTAAATTTCTTACCTCCTGTATGTGTGAATTTATTTATTATGTTATGCTTAATTGACTAAATATACCTATAAATTGTTAATTACCCCTTTGGTGAGTATTTAAATATGGAATGTAAGTAGCCCAAAAAAAAAAAATTTATACATATTTCATTTCCTTTCACTTTCTCCTTTATATATTATGTACTCATATATATATTACTTTTATATATATTTTTAAAAAATAAACAATAAAAAATAAAAAAAATAAAAAAAAATATTCAATTCTGTATTTCTTTGTTTTGCTAAAACTGACCTACCTCTACACTTAATTACCTATACTAAAATATAATTTAATAATAATTTAATAGCACTTATCTTTGGGTATATGATATCCTCTAGGTGTCATTTTGCAGTTGTTTTTTGTTGATGTTGCACTCTGGTTGTTCGTTCGTTGTACCGTGGCAGTGTGGCGTCATTTTGGTTGTGCTTTGTTGCTGTGTTTCTGATAATTTACATTGTATAGGGGCGTTGGCTGACATATTTTCCAGTGAGGCTAATGCCGGGATTTCGAGGATGAAGGTTCTTCCGGGAGGTGAATTATGGTTGGTTGTAGGTGAGTTTTTGTATTTTTCCCAGTACTTGGCTATTAATCTGCTTATTAGATATAGTAGAAACACTGTAAATACCGCCCAGGTTATGTAAAATACTGCATCGTGTTCCAATTTTTTGTCTTGGGGCATTTGTCCCATGACTAGGGGTAGCATCAATCCTTGCATCATGGCTGTTGGTCGATGGAACATCAGGTATGATACCAATAGTGATAGTATAATATTCCATATGAACATTATGCTGTGTTTCTCCGTATGCCACACATATGTGTCATGGCCTTGGCTTGCTGTATCTTTAAGATTCGCTCTGATTTCAGCTAGCAGTTTGTTACTTGAAGTTAGATTCAAGTGAGGTATCGTGAGGGACCAGTTATGGTTTAGGCATTCCTGCATGTTTTGGAACGTTGGCAGGAGAGTACTGGCTGTAGGATTTAGGATAAACGTTTTCAATGTGGTCCATGTTGCTGGTAGTACGTGTGTTATGGAGACGTTGTTTTTTAGAGATTTGGAACAAGGGAACCTTTGTGGGATCAGTAATTCTTCGTTAAGGAGTACCTCACAATTGCAAGGTAAGGATAGTTTAATTGCCCCTGGTAATTCTATTATGTTTTTTTGTAGGTGTACAGTGGCTTTTGGGCATTTGATCGTGGTTCTTTCTTTTGGATGTGTCAGAGTGTATTCTTCCAATCCAATTTCCGTGATGATCATCAGGGATGACCCATGACACCTTAATGGGCAGTGCTCTGCTAGTTCCTCTACCGTTGCTCCGTGAAATAGCTTCCTAGCACAGGTTGTTCCTTGAGATGGATCTCCAGAAAAACGGGGTAGGTAGCATAGTTTGTTGTGGTACGGCTTACATAAGTTTTTTTTTTTTTTTTACGGATATGCGCACTCGCAAGGAAATGTCCTATCACGCTCGAGAAGCGGCAAGTGCGCGGAAATGTCGGTGTATGTTGGTCTTGAAACGGTTCAGGTTGTAACCTGCAGGGAAAACCATCGCAGGGAGTTTATTCCACAGCGATGCTGTTCTCCAGAGATATGAATTCTGATATAATGAGGTTCTTGGTGCCTCTAGTTTGACAGTAAATTCATGGTTACCGTCTGTTTGACGGGTTCGCCTGGTAGGTGCTACTCTCGGTGGAATCATACGTGCCAACTCTTCAGAGCATTTTCCGTGATAGTACCTGTAGAAGAGAGATAAATCGCCCACAGATCTGCGATGTTCGAGACCATCCAAGTTACGAGTAAGTGCGGGGTCATTGATCAGCTTGATAGCTCGTTTTTGCACGGTATTCAAAAGCATTAAGGTATGTTTGGGTGCTGCACTCCATATATGTGAGCAGTACTCCATAGTTGGTCGAATCTGGGCTTTGTAGAGTGTCAGCAATTGGCTTGGTGTGTACAGATGTCTTGTACGAAATAGCACCCCCAGCTTTTGGGAGGCCCTTTTAGCAATATCTGCCACGTGACTGTGCCAAGACATGTTGGTCTCTGCAGTAACCCCCAAGATGTTCAACTGACTCTGTAATGTGACAGCACTTCCAGATTGCATGATGTTTAGCTCACCGGTGCTGGTCTTTTTTGAAAACAGAGCTGCTTGGGTTTTCTGCGCGTTGAACTGTAGAAGGTTTTTGTTACCCCAGTCCTCTATTATCTCCAGGTCGTTATTTATCTGCGATATTTGAGTTAGTCTAAGATGATGGAATTCACGTGCGGAAAGACCTGTGGGTGGTATGAGTGAGGAGACTACATTGCCATCGTCTGCAAAGCAATAGAGTGGATTTACTGTTTTATCTATGAGGTCATTTATGTAAATCAGGAAAAGAGTTGGCGAAAGGATTGCTCCCTGTGGCACACCAGCATTTATTTGGTAAGAGTTGGAGTTCTGGCCATCCAGTGCAACATAAATGGATCTGTCCTTTAGGTAACTTTCAAACCAAGTGCAAAGTTTCGGCGATAATCCCATTGCTTTGAGCTTGTTGAGCAGATTTTCATGCCAAACTTTGTCGAATGCTTTAGATATATCTAAGGCAATTGTTCTTGTTTCACCCCGCAACTCAATCGCTTTTTGCCATAAGTGAGTGACGTATGTAAGTAAATCGCCAGTTGACCTATATTTTCGAAATCCGTATTGCTTATCGTTGATAATTTTGTACTTTTCCAAGTACTTGGTTAGGTGATTGTTCACAACTCTTTCCATTACTTTTGATATCACCGGAAGTAGAGCAATTGGTCTATAGTTTAACGGATCTGTCTTTTTTCCTTTCTTTGGAATGGGTTGTACTGCGGCAGACTTCCATGATGATGGATATACTCCTTGCCTGTAAGACAAATTGAATAATTTAGCGAAAGTTGGGGTGAGTTCGTTGGCGCAATTTTTGAGTACTATTGCGGGAATGCCATCCGGACCCATTGCTTTGTTTGTATCCAGCTTTTTTAGGGATTTTCGTATTTCTCTGTGACAAAAGTGTACCTCTGGCATACTATGGGAAACCCTTTCAATGAACGGTGGAGTTTTTCCGTTTGGCACTGTTAGGTTGGAGTTGGAGGAAAACATTTGGGCAAGCATATTGGCTTTTTCCTCTGATGTTGTGGCTAAGTGATTATTTTTATCTGTAAGTGGTGGTATGAATGACTTGGTGAAGTTAGATCCAACAGCTTTTGCAAGAGACCAAAAAGACCTAGAACTACTTGGACAATTCAGCAACCTGTTTTTTATTCTTTGATTGTATGTTTCTTTAGCGGAGTCAATAGTAATTTTGCAACTATTTCTGGCTTCTATAAATTCTGTGTGGTTTTGAGCGGTTTGTTGTCGTTTCCAAAGGTTATATGCTCTGTGTTTTTTCTGTACAGCCGTTTGACACTGGCTGTTGAACCAAGGTTTTGCATTAGCTCTACGTTTAGTTGTATGTGGGATATATGCGTCCATTCCAGATAAGATTACTTGTGTTATTTCATTACAGCAAATAGTGGGATCAGCTGTTTTAAAGCAAACCTCTTGCCATGGAAAATCCAGGTAATACTGTTTTAGGTCATTCCATTTTGTCGATTTATAGTGCCACATTTTACGAGGAAGTGGTTGTAGGCTTGGTGGGATGAGCATTTCGCACTTTGTTATTATAAGTTTATGATCGGACGAACCAAGTGGAGCATCTACTTGAATTGTGTACGAGTCAGGATTGGTGGTTAGGAACAAGTCTAAAAGCGCTGCAAATTCGCCCCTTTCTGAGATACGGGTAGGTTCATCGACAAGCTGCGTTAGACCACAAGTTATGGCAAAAGCTTCTGCTTCTCTGCCTTCGTTATCTGTTTTGTTGTGGTGTTTCAGCCAGGGTATATTATGGACGTTGAAATCGCCTAAAAAGACAATTTCCGCCTGTGGATAGTTTGACTGTATACTATCACAGCTTTCGGATAATGTCGCGAAAAAGTTTTGGTAATCGGTGTTACTTGGCGGTCGGTAGAGGCAGCAGATAAACTTGGTCGATGACTTTGAGGTGAATTTTAGCCATATGATATCAAGGTTCGCTGGTTCTAGCTTCTCCTCTCGATGACATGAAAGGTCATTTTTAATGTACACACAGATCCCAAAATTATGTCGAAATCGGTGGTGTAGGTCATAGCCGGGATAAAAATAGTTCACAATAGGTGTTGCAGAACTGATTTTAGTTTCAGTGAGAACAAGGATGTCAGGTCTTTGTTCTTCAAGATGTTGGTGAAGTGAATTCATATTTGTACTTATTCCTCTTATATTGCTAAAATCAATTCTGAGTTGAGTTTTTGATCTTTTTATATCTTTGCATGAAGGACCCCCAGGATCACCCGACGCCCGGAGATCCGAGTGGTCGGGTATTTTACCTCCGGAATATTTTGATCCTGGAGGCGCCATCATGCTATCTGTTACTCATTGTTGGAACCGGACTGCCAGCGCAGTAGCGGAACGTGGTGATGCCACTTAGCGCTACTCAGTGCAGCCCATTACCTGTTATTTGTCTAATTTTTTGAGCATACTCATTTTCTGATATGGCCATGTAAAGTGTATTGTGCTCTATTTTGCAGGTTTGTCCCTCCCATGGATAAGGACTTGTTATCAACTCGAATAGCCGCCAATTATGGCCCTTCTGCCTTATAGGAATTTTGATGTGTATAGTTAGGATGTTCGTCGAGAAACTACATTCGCTTATGGGTAGCCTGTAATACGTTGATAAGTCTTGGACTGATATGGTCAATTCTTGATCCTGCCCTGCTAGGATGGACTGTAGGTCTTCAAGATCGGCTCTGAGTAAGTGGGGTTCTATGATGGATGCTGGGATTTGCTTTTGGCGGCAGTTCTGAACTACCCCTTGGTTTTTTATGGATCTGGTAAGTCGGATAATTTTTTTTGCTGTGTCTGTATTGCTCCTCATGAATGCTACTAATAGGTTTCGTTGTTCTATACTTTCGGCCACTACCGCGTTATTTATTGTATTCGTATAGTTTTCTAGGAGTTTTATTCTATTTTCTGTTATTTTCAGGGCTCTGTTGTTGGCACGTTGTACCTCTTCCAGTTTTTTCGACCCTTGCCCGATTGAGCCTAATGTTTGCTCTAGAGATTGGCCGATTTTATTCATCCGAATCTTCAACTCCTCTGACGTCATAACCATGGAGTCCAATTTTTCTTGGGTTGCTACGCCACAACAGTAGTTTAGACCATCCGCTATAAATGATAGTGACAGTGCCCTTTTTCTTCGCTGGATGTCCATTACTCGGAGGTGGGCAGGATCCCAACTGTTGGTAAACAAGGTGATTTCGTTGTCGATGGCTACTGCTATCTCTTCTAAGTATTTCATTGCTTTGCAACTATCTTCGTTAATATTATCTTTTTTCAGGCATTGGAATCTTGGAGTCTCTTGTGGAGGTGGCTCGTGGATCCAGTCGACTTTGTAAGTAAGCGGAATTGTCTCCTCGTACTTAATGGTATCTGGTAGCTCTCTCCAGGTGGCCCCTGCTGACACTTCCACCTTCTGGCCCCCCACTCTTCGAGAGGCTGCTGTGATTAGCCTGGAACAAGAAATGTTATTAGATACCCTCCTGCGTGCGAGTGTGTGCGTGTTTTTCCCTCTGAGGCCTCCGGTCTTTCAGGTCATTTAACCTTGTTTATTCTTCTTCGTTTATTTCTACATCGTCTTCGTTTATAGGCGATCCCTTTGTCCAGGGGTCATTGTAGGGTAGTATTCGGCCCACATGAACGATATCCGTAGTTTTATTTCTTGCGCCTATTTTTCTCACCTCGTAATCCACGTTACCGGTTTTCTTTATTATCTCGTAGGGCCCAAACCATCTTAATAGCAATTTTTCACTGCGTCCAACTTTTCTTATTGGGATAAAGATTTTAACTTTATCTCCTGGTGTGAATTCTAGCTCTCGGTGACCCTCGTCATATCTCAGTTTATCCTTCTTTTGTCTTTTTGTGATGTTACTCACTGCCATTGCCCTCATTGCCAGGGCTTTCTCCCTAATTTCTAAAGCGTCAGTTTTGACGTCGTCGTCTATTAGTGCTGCTTCGCTTGGGAGTACCGGGTTTCTGGCATATACTAGCATGAATGGACTAAAATGTGTTGTTTCTTGTACGGCGGTGTTGTATGCGAATGTTACGAATGGGAGGTATGAGCACCAGTCGGTTTGTTGAGTGTTGCAGTACATGGACAGCATGTCTGCTGAGGTTTTATTTAACCTTTCCGTGAGCCCATTGCAGCATGGATGGTAGGCCGTAGTGAAATTGCTTCTTACCCCCATTATCTTAAGTAGTTCTTGAATCAATTCCGATTGAAACACTTTACCTCTGTCGCTGAGAATCGTTTTAGGCATTCCATGGATTAGGAGTACTTTTTCTAGCAAGAACCTGGCGACGGGTCCTGCTTTACCGCTTGGGAGTGCGGCAGTAATGACGAACCTCGTGGCGTATTCTGTCACCACTACGATCATAGTATTCCCTTTATTGCTTCTCCTGAATGGCCCTAGTAGGTCTATGCCTATTCTTTCGAAAATTTTTCCGACCTCGATAGGTTGTAGTAGGCCTGCTGGCTTCCTATATGCTTGTCCTTTTCTGGCTTGGCAGTCCTGGCACCCCTTTACATATTTGTCTATGTCTTTATTCATATTTTACCAATAATACCTCTCTTGTATTTTTTGCAGCGTCTTTGACAAACCCAAGTGCCCACTTGTTGGGGCTGCATGTAATTCCCACATTACTTCTTCCACCATTTCTCTAGGGACTACCAATACCTTGTCCAGGCCTTTTTGGGCATTATTGGCTTTATACAGGATGCCGTTAATCAGTCGAAAATTTTTTGATCTCCTCATTGTTCCTATCGGGATATTATTGTTGTCTGGATTTTCTATGGCGTCTTTCAGGCATCGTATGCCTTCTTCTTTATCCTGTAATTCGGCGACATTTTGGCTTCCTGTAGCGTATGTTGGAATTTCGCCTACTGTGTCGCCAGCTACTTCTAGCGGAGGGTCTAATACCGGGTATCTGGATAGGCAGTCCGCGTCCCTATGGCTGGTACCCTTTTTATACTCCACTGTGTAGTCGAATTCTGCCAATTTCAATGCCCATCTTGCCAGTCTTCTGGATTGTTCTTTTATGTTATCAATCCAGCATAGTGCGTGGTGGTCGGTCACTATTTTAATATGCCTCCCGTATACTAGGTGCCGTAGGTAACCCAAGCTCCATACTGCAGCTAGTAGTTCTAGTTCACTTATTGAATAGTTCTGTTCTGCTTTTGAAAGGCTCCGGCTCACGTATGCCACCGGGTGGATGCTGCCTTTGTCGTTTTCTTGTAGCAGGACGGCCCCAATGCCACTGATCGATGCGTCGGTGTGTATTGTGCACCCTATGTTGGGATTGAAATGTTGTAAAACTGGTGCAGATATCAATTTTTCCTTTAGGTCGGTAAATGCTCTTTCTTGGTCGGGCCCCCATTTGTAACTGTTTTTTTTTGTTGTTTCGTGCAGTGGCTTCGCGATTATTGAAAAATCCTTGATGAATTTCCTATAAAAATTGCAAAGCCCCAGAAAGCTTTGCACATCTTTAACCTTCTTCGGGCGTGGGAAGTCTTTAATACACTTTATTTTGTCCTCGTCTGGCTTGATTCCTTTGCTGTTCACCGTGAACCCCAAAATTTTAATTTCTTCCTGCAGGTATTTGCATTTGCTTGGTTTTAAGGTTAGGTTTGCTTCTCGAAGTCTTTGGAAGACTTTCCTCAACTTCTTTAGGTGGCTTTCTAGAGTATCCGAAAATATGATAATATCGTCTAGGTATATTAACACCTCCTTCCATTTCATGTCCCAGAATACTCTGTCCGCTAGTTCTTGAAAAGTTGCGGGGGCGTTGCATAGTCCGAAGCTTAAGACGTTGAATTCATATGAACCATGTCCTTGAGCTACGAAAGCTGTATATTGTTTTGACTGCTCCTCTACCGGTACTTGCCAGTATCCTGAAAACATATCCAATGTGCTGAAATATTTTGCCTCTCCTAAATATGTCAATATGTCATCAATTTGCGGTAAGGGGTAGTTTGATTTTTTTGTTACAGCGTTAATTTTTCTGTAATCGACGCAGAATCGTGTGGAGCCGTCCTTCTTCTTTACTAGTACCACTGGGCTGGCCCAGGGTGAGTGGCAAGGTCTTATGACGTTGTATTTCAGCATTTCGTTGATTTGTTCGTCAATTATCATACGTTCCTTTTGTGACACTCGGTATGGTCTACTCTTTACTGGATTGGCTGCTTCGATTTCTATAACGTGTTTTGTGAGGTCAGTTTTTCCCATATATTTTGGTGACTTAGCAAATACATCACTATACTCGAGCAAAATCTCCTTTAGTTGATTTTTTTCTTCCTCGTCCCATATGTTTTCGAAGTCGTGATCGCCTATGGTCACTATTTCGTCTTCTGCTTTTTCCGTTACATTGAAGTGCCAGAGGCTTGTGACTTCCTTGCTTATTGGTCGTAGGTGCCCTATGGCGGAATACTTGTATATGCGGACTTGTTGGATGTTATATGATCTTAGTTTCATCCATAATTTTTGTCCGTCAGAGTGTATCTGTGTCTCTGGGATCAGTTTATTTTTTGTGAGAAACGCGTCGTTCCACACGAATTCGAATGATCCTTCATCTGGTGGGGCTGGTTGTATTCCTAGTTCTATTAATCTGTCTTCGTCTGGTGCAATTGTATAGTCCTCCTCTGCTGTTACTTTCGTGACCTTTTCTTGAGTCTCCAGGATCATATTCCCAAACCATTCTGTGGTTTCCGTTTTCTCTGTCTGGCGTGGCTCTTTGTCTGGCCTGTTGTTTGCAGTGTTTTTTGCGGGGTTCCAGTCGCATATATGAATGCTTATTTTTTCATGTTTGAAGACGTCGTAGATCATTCTCTCGATTGTGCCTCGTTTGATGCCGCTTCTGTTTTCGCTGATTGGTGGTATTGCCAGATAGTGCACCCCGTCTTGTTTGATCTGTTCTTTCATTTTTTTCAGGACGTTTAGTAGTTCGTGTGATGCAATTTTATCTTCTATTTTGTCCTTTATCACCATACCATAGATAGTTCTTTTTCCCTGGGATGTGCTTATTACTTGTCCTGTTTTTATAGGTTTTTTTAGCTGTTGCGTAACTCGGAATCTTCTCGTGATTTCTTTTGTGACGCCTCTTTCCTGGTTAATTTGACAGGAGGTAAAGTAACCAATGGCGTAATTTTTTTTTGTCTGTAAAATGTTTTGTGACCTTCTGGTAATTAATTTATTTATATCTTGTATGCCTATTGCTTTGTCTCTTTCTAGGAAGGCGTTGAATTTTCCTATTAAATTGATTTCATCCATTTTTTCTATGACCCCTTTTATTTGATGGAGACACTGTTCTCTGTATTCCCTTGTTTTCTGGTAAAGAGATTTTGGTCTGCTCATTTCCTTATGTGCCCATTTTGTTTCTCTGCGTGAACTTTCCATCTGTCTTTGATTTTTCTTCCTTGCTTGCGTTTTTCTTATTTTTACGTAATTCGCCATACTTTCCTGACAGAATGGAATCTTGTGTTTTTTGTTAACTCTTACTTCTTTTTTCGCCATGTCTATGCATGCGCCCGTTTGGTTTAAGAATTGCATGCCCAGAATGAGTGGTTGTGGAGTGTTTGCTATTACTTTCGCCGTGGTTTTTATCACCAGGTTAACCATTTGTATCCGTATTGGCAGTTGTACTTCCCCTATTATAGGGATTCTGTGTCCGCCGGCTGTGACGAGGACCGAGTTGCAGGGGCTTTTCTTCAGATCTTGTACCAATCTTTCGCTGATTATGTTCATTTCTGCACCAGTGTCTATGACTGCCTTAATTTCCATTCCTTGAGCTTCCACGGAGATCTGCACGATTTTATTGTTTAGGGGGCCCGACTGCGCTAGGGTGGCTGGGCTTTCTAGTTTTGCCACCCCCTGGAGTTTGGGGAACTCCTCTGGCTGTAGCAGGTTGCTGCGAAATGACCTGGTTTTCCGCAATTATAACATTTTGGTCGGTTGTCCGTTGTCCTTGTGTTATACGTATTTGATTTGGGCTGCCGCTGATTACTGCTGAAGCGTGGTTGGTTATTCCATGTAGGTCTTGGTTGCTGCCCATTTTGCCTGGGTGGTTGCTCCTGTTTGCTCACCTCTCCCGATGTTATCTGTGGTGTCAGTGTTTTTGGCGCATTATCCATGGTGATCGCTAGCCGTTTAAGTTGGTCCATACTTGTCGGGGGTGTGTTTGGGAAGTTCGTTAACCAGTAATACTGGTAATTGGTCTCCTGGTTCAGTCCCTGCTGAAAAATTGTTC